GGGGTGGGGGGCGGGAAGGGAAGAGAGTAAGTGGAAAAGAGGATCCTGAAGTATGTATTTCTCTTCCTGTCCCTAAGTGGGAGTGACACCTAGCTCTATATAACTGGGCCCAGCTGAGTTGGGCTGCAACCTCACTCCTCTACCTCAAATGCCTCCCCAGGTCCTGTTCTCCCTGTCTTGGCCATTCAGAGCATGCCTGGTGTGTCTGGGTTGCAGTCTTACCTGCTTCTGGGGTTTGGGCAAGTGGGTCTCAGACAGTCTCATTCCAGTTAGTTACTCCTCCCAGCTATTCTTAGTTACTGAAGTAACCAAGGAGGGGATTGGAGCCCCAAAGAATCAATGTGCCTATGGTCACATCATTAGAAAGTCTAGTCTGGGTTCCAACTCTAAGGTCTGCATTCAGCAGGGAGAATTCCTACATCTGTTCCCATTTCTTGCAGTCCAGCTGCCCCTCCCCCATATACCAGGTGCCAGCAGGCAGCTGTCTCTTGCTTGCTCCCCCTATCCAGGCAAGCTGTCCTGGGTGGGGCCGAGCTGGGTGGGGCAGCCCAATGTATTGAATGTCCGTCCTCTGAGGCTGTGTCCCCACAGGCAAATTCAACCAGAGATTGCTTCTGAGCAGTGCTTCTGACTGGTGAGAGTTGTTGCCCATGGATGGGGGTGGATGATTAGGAGGGTAAGAAGTGTCAGGTCAGCGTGGATCAAGGGCCTGCTAAAGACAACTTAAAATTGCCTGGAGAAGAACTCCTGCTGGATTGAGGGAGAAGGGATGGAGAATGTCAGGAGACTGAGGGTGTGGAAGAGGAGGGGAGGGTCCAGGAAACAGTAAGAGTCCCAGCTTTACTATGTAGTGAGAACCCTCCAGCCAACAGCTACCTGCCAAGAGAAAGGGCTTCAGGAAAACAAATGTGACCTGTGAATTGAGGTCTGGAGAGAGAGAGAATGTAAACCAAAGTGTGTGTGGTGGGGAGATACTGCCCACCCCATGTCTTTACCAGGAGCAGGAAAGGCAAGCCTAAAGTCTGGATTGCCATCGAAGTCGCTGACCCAGCCATGCCCGTTCCACTGCTCCCGTTACTGCTTCGAATGCTGCTGTCCCGCCTGCTCCTGCCCGCTGCCCGCCTGGCCCGCCAGCACCTCCTGCCCCTGCTGCGTCGATTGGCCCGCCGCCTAGGCTCCCAGAACACGCGAGAGGCTTTGCTGGGCTGTCTGTTGTTTGTCTTCAGCCAGGGACACCCGCCAGATGCTGAGGAGGCCTCCAGAGTGGCGCGCCCAGAGAGGAGGGAGAGGCTAACCCGGCAAAAATGAGGCCACGAGTCCTGGTAGCAGCAGAAACTAAATGCTTTCTTTTGGAATGAGACAGTCCTGGCACCATCACTGACTACAGCCTGCCCAGTAGGCATCAAGATATGGTTCAGGGCTGAGCATGAGATGGGTCCAACTAAGACATGTCTCCTGGCTCCCAGCAGAAAGGCCTGGAACGATGCCCTGGATCTAGAGAAGACCCCATTTTTACCCCTCCCTCTCTGCATTCCTCCCAAGACCTTTCTGAATCACCTCGGGCCTCAGCAGCGAAATGACTCTCCCCCCTCTCCCCACCTCCAGATAAGTGGGGACATAAGGTCCAATGACGGACAATGCTTAACCCAGAGAGAATTGACAATTTAGTGCAGATGCAAGGTTTTAATCTAGATTGTCTTCCAAACTCAGGGTTTATCTTAAAAGAATAAGACCTTGATTCCCCGAGAAGCAGTCCTGCCCCCAAAGTCCAGCATGTAGGAGGTGCTCAATAAATACTTCTTTATTCTTGGGATTCCTCTGAAAGTCTTGTTACCCATACCTGAGCCGAGCCTGCACTCCACCTGAGTGGGAGTGGAGGACAACTCAAGGCTTTCTCTGATCCCCTATTCCATGTCCCTGTCAGTCCTCATCTCCTGGAAGTTCTTTTGTTTCAATTCAGCCAGTAGGCACACTCTGATCCAGCAGTCCTGGGGCTCTCTTGGAGAGAGTTTGGTCATCCAGCTCAAGGTAAGAAGGAAAATGTCCTTGACTGAGTTTGGAGACTCTTCTCAGCTAATGGTGGTTGGGAAGAGGGAGATTTGTTGGCTTGGGGACCCCTGTGGGCAGTCTCCCAGGGGAGCAGAGCAAAAATGCATGCTCCTGAGAGGGACTCTGTCTCTGAAGAGATGCGGGGGGAGGGTGGCCTGAGGAATTCACTGCTTTACATACCTCCCCAGTAGGAGGCCCCTCAGGGGTCAAATATGAGTTGTCAAAAGTATCTGCATTTCAGCCTCGAATAATTTGCTTAGGGTTCCCCTGCAATAGTCCTCCCTCCCTTCCTTAACCAGCGAGTCTCGGGCTCCGGGGTCTGAGGGAGACGGTAAGGAATACAGGCATCTTTTAGTACCCCCATCCGGTCCCCACACCCGTCATAAGGTTAGGCGTGGGTAAGACCTGAGACCAGAGCTATGCGGCCCCATCCCAGCCCTGCGGGGTTTTCCTCCAGACTCTCCCTCCGCCCACTCTCCTCACCACCGCTCGACCATCTGCTTCCACCCGGTGTCCTCAAAAGCCAGTGCACATGCTCGCCCCGCACGGAAAGTCGGCCTGGGGTTAGAGGTGGAGTGAAGCGGGTGTGAGCTCCTGGCCTCCTAACCCAGTTCCCTCTCGAGTCACAAGCAATTTTTTTTTTTTTTTTTTTTTTTTCCATTTTTTTTTTTTTGACTCCTGCTCCCAGGCTCCCTTTCCGCCCGCTTCCCCCGAAGCGCGCCGCGCTCCCGAGCAACGGCAGGCAGGACAGAGCCCGCCGCAGAGCTCCGGGCGGGCGCGGGAATGCCGGTTGCAGCCCCTCTCCGCCCCGCCCCTTCCCCACCTCACTCTACCCTCCCCGCGCCTCCTTCGGCAGCTCAGACCGGTCGGACGCGGCGCGAACTGCGATTTCCGGCTACCGCCCCAACCCCGAAGTGAGGGGCCCAGGAGGGCAACCAGAGGCCTGACGGCCTGGGAATTTCCGTCTCTTCTCTGCAACTTCGGATGCACCTCTAAGGTCTCCGCAGGTGTGCGGGGAGCAGAGGCGGGAGCCGCGGGGGCCGGGGCGGTGTCTGCGGTGTTCCCAGGCAGCACGGTGGGGCGGGGCGGAGAGTGGTGCTGGTAGGGCTCTCTTTGCGATGGGGATATCAAAAGAGTCGGCTTCTGCTGTTTCTGGCGGAGTGGATACTTTTCTGGGATTTTGAGGGCCGCTGTTAGATGACTGCCCCTCACCCCAACCATATACAGATCACTCAAGGTCAGAGGCCAGCCAGCCCAGAGCAGGGTGTAAGGGCAGAGGTCTGAGAAATTAGAAGGGCAAGCCCAGACCTAGCTAACAGAGTCCATACTCACTCTAAAGGAAGATGAGGGAAGCGATCCTGTCTTTATTTTAAATGTTGATGTTTTGTTCATCATGGGTTTTTTGCAATAACTTTGATTTTTTTAAAGTATTGCATTAAAATATTATTTATCTTAATTCCTGAATTATTTGATGTCCCCTTAAAATTTGCGCCTCAGGCAAGTGCCTCACTGTCCTCACCCTAGTCCCAGTCCTGCCACAAGGCCGTGGAGATATAACCACTAATTCAGCTGACAACACACAATCATGAGACACGTCCTGGCGACAACGCTGAGCTGAGCAAACACACTTCCAGCAAACAGATGGACACAGGGCTGGGGGAAGATAGGACTGTTTGTTTGTGAGGTGGTGAGGCAGGCTTGAGGCCTGGGGAGGAGGGAGTCTGGGGCAAGCCAGTCTCAAATAGGGTGGGGGTGGGGTGCAGCTGGATCAGCCCTTCCCACCCCACTCCTGTGCCAGGGACCTGAGGGAGCCCAGGGAGGGAGCGAGCTGTAAGATTGGGTGGATGGTGGCAAGGACTGCCTGGACCTGGCTAGAAAAACTCCAGGCACAAGCTGGTGTGAGTTGGAGCTTTAAGGCTGTCCAGCAGAGGGCCCTAGCACCCAGAAACCATCTCTGTCCAGGGAGGTAGCTCTGGAGGGGTGTGGGTGCTGGCTGGCAGCCCAGGTAGGGTGAGTGCCAGATGGGCTTCTCTCCAGCAATAACAGCCCTGGCTGTTGCCATTTAGAGAGCAGTCCAGGCTTCAGCGGGGGTGGGGAGAGGAACCATCCTTCCCCTTTATGGCCTTGGACCCTCACCACTTCCCTCCAGTTTCTTTCCACTTCCAGCCCCCTTGGCACACAACTGCAGCCACTGGCCACCAGCCTGGCTATGCTTGGCAGATCTGTCTGACCCCTAAGGCCTGCCATCCCCCAAAGGCCCACAGCTGGGCAATGACAGTGGGGAGAGAGGCAGGGGCCAAAGAAGAGGAGAAAGGAGGGCCAGGAGAGGAAGAGAGAAAGACTGGACAAACAATGGGTGGGAATGGGGGGCGGGGTTGTTGACCCAGACATGAAGCCGTTTTCAAGCCATGGGTCAGTGCCTAGAAAAATAACCACCAATATCCCTCTTCCTGCCCTCTGCTTGGTTAAGGCTTCGGATGATGCTGTGTCATGTCTCTGTGGGACAAGTTGTAGGAAGGCTGGGAGCACCCCTTCTGGAGCATCCCTTGATCCTAAGTAGAAAAGCTATCTCCCCTCCCAGGGCCCCATCTGTTCTCTGGGGAGAGGATGTGACTGCCTTATCCCTATGATGTTAGTACTCCTAATTGTTAATTAGTGTCTGTGGCTTCGCCAGAGAACAGGCCTCTTGGTGCAGGAAGGGAGGAGTGCTGGACTGGATTTTCTCTCCTCAGTGCCTCTCCAGACTTTGGATTATCTTCCAGCACTGAGGGCTGCTGTAGGGGCAGAGATTCTCCTTCTTCCCAGTATACTAACCAACAAAGAACGAGGGCATCCCTTCACCCTCCCTTGGAGGTACGAGAAGGACTGACCACTCCTCAGCATACCCACCCGCTTCCTTCTCTACTAGTGGAGGATGTGAAGCTGGGCAAGGCTTCTGCCTCAGAGTATCAGGACTATAGGATTCACTCAGGATATAAGGCTGTTCCCTTGCTTTTTCTCTTTGCTTCAGTCTTTCCAAAGTTCTAGATTTAGAAAGGGTGAATCATGAAGGTGCTATAGGGCTGTGCCTCTACCTATCACCCCATACAGAGCCACACATCCCCCTCCAAGTCACAGTTGTGGGTGGCTGTGGTGTTTGTATAGGTGCGTGGGTCTGTGTGTGTTAGAGGTGGGAAAACCCACCATGCTGGTCACTGATTATATATGTCAGAGGGATTCCCAAGGTGTGTGAGGGGTGGGGGTGGGGGGAAGAGCAGAAGACAGGACAGGTCTGAAAGGAAGAAAGTGACACCGAAAAGTTCACTGCAAAGGAAGAAGGTACACTGTGGGGAAAAAGTGGCGTGGGAGGGGATTTGGGGAGTGATGGCTGAACATCTGAGATATAGTATGGGTGGACGTGGGGGCGTCTGGGCCTGTTTGAGCAGGTTTGTCTCTGGGAAATCCCCGAGACGAGTTCTGTAGGATTTGTGTAGCCCCGGCGCGCAGAAGACTAGGGGTACCGGTGTGGGGCTGTACGCTCCAGCGCCGCGTGCACCTTGATGGGGCAGGGATTGGTGGGGCCAGGCCCAGAGAAGTACGAGCTACAGAAATAACAACGCGAAGCGTGAGCCAGGCGGCGATGCGGGGAGCAGGGTCTTGGGATGTGGGCCCCTTCGGGTTCGGAGCAGCTGTGCTGTTGGCAGGGGCGGGCCGGGGCGGGGCCGGGGCGGCTGCGGGGGGGGGGGGGCGGGGGGGCAGGGGCGG